TACTTCGAATATGACCACATGAACTGATATGATTGGCTTATTTAAACTAATCATAAGTTTGGCCCGGAGAATATCTTGATTATGATTGGATCAAATCTTAGAAACTTGGGTAGTACCACTTAAGCCAGCAGTCGCATGTCGTTCCCTGTACTTCGTCGTTTCGGACTACCTTTTGACACATGGATGAAGGACTGCCTCGATACTAATAGTATCTCAGCTAGTAGCTAGTACTCCGGCTTGATATTTGTAAGGGATGGATAGTAGTAAGCCCACCTTACTACTTCTATCCAAGGTTCCATCCCTGTGTTACTATTGGCCAGTGGAACGAAGTGGCCCCACACCAGAATTCGTTGACGTTTTGGCTTTTCTATTTCTGGATCGCGGTGTCATAGATACTAGGAGTATATACTTTGTACTTGTATTGTCGTATGAACTGTTGTTATATGAAGTATATATATACTGTCCAGTCAGCCAACATTTGGCCGTTTATGCTATTTCGCCATCGATTGATTTTCTTTGTACTGAATTTTGTATGCAAAGAGTCAAAGGTCACGCTATATTGTATTTAGACGCACACTAATTTTCAGTTTTGAATGGTTCAAAAGTGATTTGGATTGGACCTTGATTAGCGTTCTAATTTTTAATTGGTCGACCTCTTGTCGTCCGACTTATTTCTTCGCTCTTTCAGCCAACATTTCAATCGATCAATTGTTTGTTTGTACTGAATGTTGCATGGAAAACCGTCCAGAGTCACCCTAGTACAAGTACTTGGATGTTATTCAAGCGAGAATACTTTATTTGCACACTTGATTCATGTTTTGGGCTTTGATATTTGGTGCTACTATGTACTACAGTACCCCACTCCGATTTTTTGAATCCATAATTTTGTCTGCAAGGGTGTATTATCCTTATTTTGGAGTGCGATTTAAGCATATTCAATGTATGGTATACACATTTCAAGATGAATTTTTTGCCCTGGGCCAACCTAAACAACAACACGAATCGATGTGTGATGGGTTGACAATTTGGTGCATTTTGATTGGCTAGGACATATCCTTCCATACTGCATTTGTCAAAAGTGCATCCTTTGACAGTCAAGACTAGCTATATATATATAATCATATAACTGAAGAACGAGTGTATATAACCATATAACTGAACGAGTCTTGTACAGTGCTTTACACGTGTGGCCAAGGCCACGTCGGGGGGCTCGTTCGGTTTCTACTCCGTCACGACAAGCAACTCGTTTACAACGTTTATGGCAAGGCTGTCAATATAATTGTGTATGAGTGGAAAGCGCATATGATGATTACTGTAGATGGATCGCGATTGCACCGATTTCAGAGTAATATGTATGTATTGTACCTCGAAGTATATTTATATATTGTAGTATATATATATATCTACGCTAAAAGGTAGTAGTAGTAGTATGTCGTAGTATGTAGCGTTGCGTCCGAGGTCAAATTTGATACTCGTACGGGATGTTGATGGAGTCGTTCCGTCTTATAATGTGAAGTATGCTATATATATTTTGTGCTACCCATGATATTTCCACAATTGGAAATATTATTCGTTGGATGGAGGACCGTTCGAAAGGGTTACAGGCATTTGAACAGTGAATGGTCGGTTGTTGAAATAAGATCGCGCGTTTATAAATAGAAAAATCGAAATATATACAGCAGTATTATATAAATAGAATATCGAAAGATACGCTATATACATAGTATATATATATGTCTATGGTGGCACTCCGTGTACTATTAATAATTGCAGGATAGTATTTGTGCATTGATTATTCATATGATGTTTCTAAGAGGGACGGCTGTGTTGTTTATAAGGTACTTGAGAATGCTGGGAATTGCACGGCTGCGTTCGATGGGCTAATGCTGCGTCCTTGTGTTGTTTGGCGGTGGTGAGATGTGTAATGGAATGTCGACTGCTTCTCCTACTTGCTGGTGGTGCACCAGTCACGGGGATGAGGGCGTGACTGACAGCGCAAACAGGTCGAGCTGAAAGAACTCGCGCACCGAGTGGTCGAGGGCGAGGTAGGGTCGTTGCTGCAGCAGGTCGACGCATGCCGCTTCCAGACGCGCTCGTCGGTCGCTCAGCGCGGCGTCTTGTGTGAGTCGGAACCACGTCTTGGGAGGCAGCTCCCACGAAACGTCCTTGACCTGCAGCGCATTCGAGAACGCCGCGAACTCCGAGTACCGCTTCTTGACGGTGAATGTGTGATGTGGGGTTTCCACGAGGATGGCGTACGCAACATGCTGCGGCACTCCTGATTCGTTGGTGGACTCGTGGAACGACGGGATCGACAGGCAAAACGTTGCGTTCGAGTCGTCCTTGGTCCACGTCGCCTTGGGGGCAAACCGCGCGCAAAACTCGATCGGACGAGGAATCAAGATGAGATCGTCGTCCACGTCGTCATCCTCGTCATCGTCGGTCTTCTCGTGATCTTCTAACGTTTGCTCGCTAACAACTTTGGCTTTCTGAATGGGTTGAAGACTGCGATTGACGAGGATGGTCGGGACCGTGGGGGTGAGGAGGTTCAGCTTGATCGATGCGTCCTTCTGCTGCTGTTGCTGCATCTCCAGTGCCTGTAGCTTCTTGCTCTTCTTCTGCGCACCTCGCGCACGCTTGCTGCTCATGATTTGCCTCGACACGCCTCGGGATGCCATCTTGGGACTTGCTGTACAGACAATGGAAAATTGCACAATGAAAGAACCTCCCATAGAGCGTTACAATCGCATCTTTCCGTTCTTGGGCATAGGGTTAACAGCCGGATACGTATCGTTTTTTAAAGGTTTATGCGGAAATCCGTTTTCCATGATTATTGGATACATATGGCACCTCCTGGACGAGGTTTCCACAAACTTCGCGGCGTACTACATACTAGTACATACTAGTAGGTTGTTATGGTGGTGTAGCATGGTCGTATTCCTCCCTATATTGTCACTTTAACGGTAGGCATGGCGGTCGGTGCGCTGTTGTTCCTCTCAAAACACATATTGTGTGTTGGGTTGTGACAGGCTTCTCGAATCTTAGATTCGGCCAGTTACTTGGGAAGTATGAGATTCCAGCACAACTGCATTTACGGTACAGTGAATTCCATCGTTCAATCAGGTTCAAATGAATGTCCTACTACCGGTAGTAGCATTGGATGCATCTCGTCAAAATGCCAAGATACAGTTGTAGTCAAGTCACCTTTGTTTTCGTCGCGAAGTCGATCTATGTCAGTCGCTGCTCCGTTGCTACAGTACTTGCTCTAGGATTCCTCGTCTAGAACTTGATGCCACTCGTCAGTACTGTAGCGCTTGTACGTACTGTACTGGCAGTACTACGTACTCGGTGGAATTGACAAATGGTTATAGAAGTGTAATTACGTGAGAGCAACAGTTCCACTATTCCTTGCGAAACCATCTCCCTTCAAACGAACCAAGAGCCATGTAACCTCGGAACCTTCGGACCCCTTGTGCTGCTATTTCCCGGGGTAAGTTGCATCATCAGTGCTAAGCTATCGCTAGCCACTGAAAAGTACTTCACCCCTAGCTGAAATGTGTTGCTTTGGTTTACACTGCATTTTACTATGGTTTACACGAACAAAAGTGAAGTGATTAATTACGATGTAAGAAGTGAAACTGTTTCTCAGGGAATAGTCGGTCGTGATATATTATACATAAAGTGTAGCTCCACTTCCCTTTATCTGGTATTTACGAAACAAACTACTATTAATAATAGTATTAATACTTGAAGTATTAATATTAATAGTACGAAACAAACCTACTAGTAGTAGTACTAATGGTTTCACTACTGTAATAGTTCCAAGTACAACACCTCAAAAGGCACGCCCACGATGACTTGACGACTTCGTTCCACAATCCTCACAGACAAAGCAGCAGTGTCGGCATACATCAAGAGTAATTTGTCAGACGCATACACCATAGTATAATCACAGGCTCGTTTCGCCCTTCGCACACGAGTGGCTGGTCTGGCTGCACGAATTGATGGATTTGGTGTTTGCCACGACTCGTTATAAGCAACAAATCCATCAATTTGAGTTGCCAGACCTGCCGCGGACACCTACAGTATTGATGATAATGCGTGCGACAATTGATCACCCGCATCGAACGCCGGCCGCCCTAACAAAGAGGCAAAACGCTTAGCTATCTACTGTCCATGACATCACCATATAGTGGACGTTTCGTATCTCGCATCGTCCACTCCACAATAAGGCCATGTAGCTCATTTCAGAATCGTCTGCCAATTCCTCCATTGAATTTTGTACGTACAGTACCTTTTAGTAGCGAATTTTGGTCCGCGCTTTGAGTGAACCTTTGGTAATTTCGGGTATTTTGGTCCGCAACAACAAGCTGTCGCCGTGGATATATATATATACCGTTGTATATATATATATACAACGGTTTCTGCTCGCTCGGAGTCGCGTCGATTGCGTACAAAGTCGCAGACGCCGCGCTGCCCTTCGACACACACCGCAATGACATGCTGCTCGGCATTGGCGCCGTCTGTTGGTCCTGGAAGCCGCCGGCGCGTCGACGACCCTGTGGGTTCCCGGCCCGGGACGCCAGCACAGCTGAAAAACTCGGCGTTCCACGACTCGTCGGAATGGTCTGAACTGAACTCGTGATATCACTTTCTGTTAATACTACTAGCTCCAGGCCACTTTTTCAGGATTTACAGTGTTAATGGGAATATTTCAATCAATTTAAATCTTTTGTAATAGACATAGGCGTTACTCTAAATAGCCAATTCTTAGTGCAGTATGAATTCACTGTCAGGCAGCTGTTTGTCCTAACTTTGTGGAAGATATCCTATTGATCTCCACCCTTAACATGTAAACGAAACGGAGCAAATTATGCAATTCACACAGTAAATTAACTCTTACAGGTATTTGCAGGGTGTCTGGACCAACCATTTATACATGCATTCAAGCGATGGGCGTCTCCAAGTCAGAGCTGAGTATGCCAGTGCGTCTCCAACAGTTCCTCACAGTGGAAATGATGTCATCCATTTCAATGCCAAACGATTCAAGTGTTCGAATTTTGAAAAGTCATCACCTTCCGATATGGTTGGATAATATAAAGTTTCAAAAATTATCAAGTTTACCCCGTTTCGTTTAAGGGGGGAGATCAGTAGAAAGAAAAGAGGAATGATGATCAATTTTCACCGCACTCATCAATTAGTTTGAAAATTAATACTACGTAGTATCCGATTTCAGTGTTGAATTATCCATTGATAGAGGGTTTCCTTCACATACGTGGTATTAGATTTTGTCATTTACTGTATAATCTTATAGAAATTGTACGTAACTGGTAATGGGACCAATATAGTACAGAGAACCGACTAGGAATAGACTAATCAATGCTGTTAATTTTTGTAGCTTTGTGTTCAAATTTGCGTATTTTTGATGAAGTATTGCCAAAACAAATACATGTTCGGATATGGGTCAAAATCATCCGGATCGTTTTTTCGTTTTGGCCATTGTTTTATTATTACATGTGCTGGCAAAAAGTTTAGGACCACCCAATTTACATTGTTAGTACCACTCCGTCCCAAATCACTGACACGTATGGACATTTTATTAGTTGTGAAATTAGAAAACAATCAATTTTATTAAAAATATTACTTTATCCAGTACAGTTAAGCCAATCACAAGGAGGAAGGTGACATGGTACATTTAGGTGACATTGACATCTTCCTGGGAATTAAATTATACAGTCGAAGTCACCTCTTGTTTTCGATATATTTGAGACAATCTCCATACATTCTTCAAGTCCGGTGAACATATGAAAATTTTGGGTTGAGCGGCTGATTTTATTTGAAGAATACACATGCAATTTTTTAAACGAATAGCAATATAATTATATGACCTTATACCCAAGATCCTACTCTTTTGGTTGGTACAAATTTCACACAAATCCAATGATTGGTCATAATACCACAATGTGGCGAACATCAAACGTGTCAGTGATTTGGGACGGAGTGGTACATAGGACGGAGATGCGTTGTAATGGGAGCAAATACACGACACTACATCTACAGTGAGGTGTGTGGGAGGCTTGGAGAACAACCTTACAAGCTCAAACCACATTATCCGCGCCAAATCAGAAAAAACGTGATTATAAAAAGACGGTCCTGGCAAAAAGTATAAAACCACAACGTTTTTTATGTACTTTCCGCCGTCTTTTAGCCACAAGAGTACGTTTTTTAGACTCCCCAGATTGAGTTTAATTGATTCCCGTCTTTGT